TCCATCGTTTCAGTTTGGCTTTGATCTAAGACAGTCTAGCCACTTCCCCGTGCAATTTCCCCCAGAGAGGTGCAAGATGTTTGGCCAAACGTCCTCTCCGAATAATAGCTCGGGGGTTCGAGATGCAGGCCTGACTTTGTGTCTTTTGGGTAAGCACTTTACACGAATTTCCATCGCTTCACCCAGGTGGAATATTATACCCAGTCATAGTCAGCGAAATATCTTGTCAGTATGTTAGTGTTTTAGCGCCTATTAATGGCAGCTTGCACTGAGTGCTTATCAGAAAGTTGAGACTTTCAGAATGCTATCAGGTCTGCTGGGGTAATAGTATAGATTAAATATGCGAAAACTTGAGTTTTCATTTAATTCCCGACGTATAGCTTTCTAATACGCTTAATTAAATTAATTGAATACCCAGAACTTTCTTACAATGCTATTCCTGATTAAACCACATACTTTGTCTTACGGGGCGTAGTACCTAAGCTGATAACGGGCAATAACTGTCTCTTTGAAGACACGCTCCCGTCGCGAACTCTCTATTTTCTATTATAATATTCTGTAGTTGTGGAGACCCTTTAGAAAAACGCATAGAACGTCACACTCTAATCCTCCGGGGAGTAGTCGTTAACCGCTTCGTCGTCACAGGCAGATTACCCCAGTTCGATTCGTTGTCTGGTGAGAAAATGTATCGAGTGTATAGAACATTGTATGTCTCTCAACCTGGGTTGGCCGTGAATGACAGGGTCGAAACCCGCCTCCAAAATGATCTAACTATGTTCCGATAGGGTAGTAAAACCCCTCAGTAATCTTTTAACACACAGGTCCATAAAAAGTGATACTAGCGACAAAATAAATAAATAAAAGAAAATGAAAAAGAAAAAAAACGAAAACAAATATATTCAAGTGTATTTTCATTATTTTTCATCAATCGAATTTGGTTACAAAAATGATATATTATAAAACTCCCTCTCTCTCTCTCTCTCTCTCTCTCTCTCTCTCTCTCTCTCTCTCTCTCTCTCTCTCTCTCTCCCTCTCTCTCTCCCCCTCTCTCTCCCCCTCTCTCTCTCTGTGTCTCTCTCTTTCCCACTCCCTCTTTCTCTTTCCATATCTTTCTCTCTCTCTTTATCTTTCACTCTCTCTCTCTCTCTCTCTGTCTCCCTCTCACTCTGTCTCCCTATCTCTGTCTCTCTCTGCTTCTCGAACACAATCTATATCTCTGCATCTTTCTCCCCTTCAGTCCGCCTACCTATATGTCTGAGTGTGTCCACATCTGTCTTCATGATCGTCTGTCTACCTCTTTGCATTGACGGATTTAGGGCCTCATATACATGTACTCACCTATTATTTTACCCGCTCTAAAAAACAAAAAACAAAACTCAAACATACACAGCCTAAAATAAGACACAAAAATCTCAAAGAACACAACACCTACACCTAAAACAATTAATTGGAGATATCCAGTCAGCGGCAACGAAATTGAGATATGACAGTGAAGTATTTAGTGCTTTATGTAGTGGGGTTCACTTTATTGTGAAGCAACGTTTAAATATTGAATTGTGAAAGACATGGTTGTATTTTTTACTGCCTCAAGACGAAAAGGAGTATTACTGATAGGGAAAATGAGTAAAAATTTTGAAAACAATACATGTATCTGGAAACAAAAAAAGATATATGTTCAAATAGTAAAGTAAAACAATGTTTTGACAATGTGAAGAATCACAAATGAAGAGTATAGGATTCCAAAAACAAAGATAAGCCTTTTGACCCACAGACTTATACATATCACTCAATACAAAGCAACTGGACATCCTCTTTCTACGGAAATCTGAAAAATAACAACAGCGGAAAAAAGAAATGGCAAATAATGTTCGTTGTCTGGAAGTCGCCAAAGTCGTTCTGCCTGCCCAAACTTTTACATCATTTTCAGCCAAACCTCGTTGTACTTTCTGAGTGTCATTGGGGAGTCATATCCAACCCTGAAGAATTCGTTGGCCTTGTAGTTGGCGCTGGTGCCGACTGCTGCCTTCAGATTGTCCAAATTCTCGGTGAACTGCCTATTGCTTGTTCTCCCGAAAGAATAAAACGACCTGAAAGAATAGGATTCATCGTGGGTTAGGCACAGTCAACGTAGAGAAGGTCTAAGAAGAGTAAACGTAAGAGTTGGGTTTAGTGAGTTCACAACATCACGGTACAAGACAAAGACATGCGTTAGAATTTGTAGGTTAAACAGAGAATGGGCGTCGGCGGCCTGGTGGTTCAGCTTTCGGATTCACAACCGGTTCAAATCTTGTCAGGGACTCTCTGTTGTGTCCTTGGGAAAAGTACTTTTCACGAATGTTCCTCACTTCACACAGGTGGGATTTGGTACTCGACTATAAACAGCGATCTTGTCAGTTTGTTGGTTTTTGAGCACGTGCAACTAGAAGGATTGCACTATATATGCGTCCCGGGAAGACAAGAATGCTTCTCAGTGTTCTATGTTCTGCTGGGGTAATAATGATTGTAATTGTAAAGCGCATTCGGTATTGCTCTAGAGCATGCATCTACGTTTTATACATACAATTATTATTAATAATAATAGTAGTAGTAGTAGTAGTAGTAGTAGTAGTAGTAGTAGTAGTAGTAGTAGTAGTAGTAGTAGTAGTGGTAGTAGTAGTAGTAGTAGTAGTAGTAGTAGTAGTAGTAGTAGTAGTAGTAGTAGTAGTAGTAGTAGTAGTAGTAGTAGTAGTAGTAGTAGTAGTAGTAGTAGTAAA